TGACGGTGTCGCGCGTGGGCGGGCCGAATTAATCGCCCCCCGGTTCGCCGTTCGGGGTTCGGGTTGCCCCACGCGACACTCTCCCCCTCCCCCGCTGTCGCTCACTAGTGGATTGCGTACTGGTCATCTCGATGCGATTGAGGTCTCCTGGAAGGAAGTATGTGGGAAATCTGAATGCTCAGGACGGAAATCTTTGAAAAATCCTTGTCGTCATCCAAAAATATGGTGTCTAGTTTTTTAAAAACCGGGGAAAACCGGGATCCATGAGGAAATGAAAATTTACCGGGAAAATCAGGGAATCTGTTCCAAACCCGGGAATCTCTTCTCGAACCTCCCAGGGATCATTTTGTTTTCAGATTTGGCGGTCTAATCTGACGTGCGCCAAAGAAATGGCTGTAATTTAATTAAAACCGATATGCATATCTTAAACTCTGGAAAATTATATTCTTTTCCCCAAGGAAATCCCTGGAAAGTGGGAGAAAACTTCGGTTTCTCGTCAAGGAATGAGCTCCTGAAAATCCGGGAAAAATCAGGGAATGAGCTTTGCCAAGAAAACTAGACACCATGGTTCAGAGAAAAAAGTTCTTAAAGGAAGTTTTCTTCGTATGTCAGGGGAAGGCAGGGAGTTTGAAAATGTTTGAGTCGGGGAAGAGAATTCAAAGACCGGGAATGGGGAAATGAGAATAGTAAGTCAAGAAAAGTTGAGGGAATAAAATCAGGATTTCAAATTCGTCTGTAACATTTCAATTCTGAATTCGTGTGGGTACCGTACCCTGTACACAAGCTCCGGAGTGATCACACTCCAATGCCTTTCAACAGTAAAAGCCCCCTATTTTCAGGCGCAACGTTCGAAGCAGCATCCCTTGTCTTTCAGCGCATTTGGCATTCTGTAGAGCTAGGACATTAACCCTACATACAAAAGCTCGCATTCCCTTTGATTCTGAACGACACTTTCGGTGCAGCACCCCTTATTTTTCGACGCACCCGGTAAAGGCCACCGCTCCATATGCAAAAAAATGTCATGCGCTGTAATTCTGAACGATATTTTTTTTGGTGTAGCACCCCATATTTCTGGACCAGGGTTGCTACAGTCAGGGAATACCGGGGCAAAAAAATTGCATTCGCTTCAATTCTAAACGATACTTTTTTTTGGTGCAGCACTCCATATTTCTAGGCCAGGGTTGCTACAGTTAGGGAATACTGGGAAAATGGTGAAATGTCCCGGAATTTTAAGAAGGCAGGGAAAATGACGAAAGTGTAGGGTAAAACGGTAAAGCCACCCTTATTTGCTCTCTAGAATGGGTTTAACGTTTCGAACAACAAGTTTTGCTTGAAAAATATTTAAAATTGTGTTTTTTTTAATAATCTGGCATTTCTTCAACTGTCAGGGAATTTTACCAAAATGTTCGAATGTTTGTTGCTCGTTTCAAACAACAAATTTTGCTTGAAAACTATTTATAATTGTGTCTTTATCCATCTGGCTCATCTTCAACTGTCAGGGAATTCTACCAAAATGTTCGAATGTTTGTCGTTAGTTTCAAACAACAAATTTTGCTTGAAAACTATTTATAATTGTGTCTTCATCCATCTGGCTCATCTGAAACTGTCAGGGAATTATACCGAACTGTGTCAGGGAAATGTCAAGGAAATTCAGTTTCAAAATAATTCTGTATCAATCCTGCTAGGTGCATCCGGTGAACTCCACCGCCCTCCGTGCAAAGCTCTCGCTTTAATTCTCCCCGACATTTTTCGATACCACCCCTAACCAACCCCTCAAGTCAAGAAACGCTGAAGGAACAGGCGGGATGCCGAAAAAGCTCTCGCTTTATTTCTTCCCAACATTTTTCGATACGACCCCTAACCCACCCCTCGAGTCAAGAAACGCTTAAGGAACAGGCGGGATGCCGAAAAAGCTCTCGCTGTAATTCTTTCCCAACATTTTTCGATACCACCCCTAACCAACCCCTCAACTCAAGAAACGCTTAAGGAACAGGCGGGATGCCGAACCCGCCTTTGTTCCGAAGGGCGACACTCGAAGGCGCGGGGTAGTTTACGCCGCGGAGTCGAAAACGGGAAACATAATGGGCAATAAAACCAACCCCCCGATTCACGCTCACCCGGGAGCCGAGCGATTCCCGACCGTTGTGCGGCGCCTTAATTTTAATATTTTGCGCGCGCATTTAAAGCCCTCTCCCCCTTCGCCCCTTGCCCCGCGTTCATCGGCCACTATCGACCCCGGACCCCTCGCCCCCTTTCACGCACTCACTCGGCGTAAGTTGGCATGATTAGAGACCCCCCCCCCGCCCTCCCGCCCTCCTCGCCGCCCCTCCCCTCCTCTTCGCCCGAGTATCGGACCCTCTCAAAAATCAATGGCGCCGTATACAAAACAGCACCTCACCCTCGGCGCCCCTCGCTTTCGGAGCGGGCTCCCCTCCCCTCCCCTCGCCGTGTAGCACCAGTTCGGCGCGCTCGCCGAGAGAACGGGATTTATTCCGAATTTCAGACCCGGGGTACGGGGAGGGCGCTCCGGGAAGGCGCCCTTTCGAATGCACGGTCGTGTCGCGCGGCCTTGCAGCCGGCGCGAAGGCACTCCCGTTCGATTGGGCTTTCGGCGGCCGGCTGATTATTGGAATTCGTAGGCTTAGCGATTGTAAAGGAGTCGGGGAGAAAATGCAGTGATCGGTTGCAAGGGACGAAGGAAGTGAGTAAAAGTCCTCTTTTAATTGGATTCTCGGCGCTGGGCTGATTACTGAAATTCTTAGACATACCGATAGATAAAGGCAGAGCTGGTCGGCAAAAAACCGAGAAAAGTCAGGGAAGTTCTTGTGGAGCGGGTCCCACGTAGAGTCCCTTTATACTGAGAGTCAAGACAATGTGAATCCATTTCTGATGGGTCCCCGTATTTTAGGCCTTCACAGTGTCACAAACGGGAATGAAGATTACGTTTTAACCGATCGCAAAGATTATAATCTGGAATGGACCAGGGAATTACGGGTTCGGCAAGGAACAAACGGAATGAAAGGAAGAACGGAGAAAGGAATTTGGGAATGGGCCGATCAAAGATTACGAAAAACGTTCAATTTGTGTAATCTTCATTCCCGTTTGTGACTCCATGAGGGGTGTTGTCTTGACTCTCAGTATAAAGGGACTCTCTATTCGTAGGCATAGCGATAGGTGAAGGAGACGGGGAGAAAATGCAGCGATCCTATGGGTGGAAGCGGGTGGTTGCAAGGGACGAAGGAAGTGAGTGAAAGTCCTCTTTTAATTGGATTCTCGGCGCTGAGCTGATTACTGAAATTCTTAGACGTAGCGATAGATATAGGCAGAGTGGTTGGCGAAAAACCGAGAAAAGTCAGGGAATGTTGAATTCTTGGTGGGCTGATTACTGTAATTCTTAGACATAGCAATAGATGTAGGCAGTGTGGTCGGCGAAAAACCGAGAAAAGTCAGGGAATTTCATCAACGGCTAGGGAAGTTCTTGTGGAGCGGGTTCCGCGTTAAAATCGGGTCCGCAACTTGCCAGCTGCATTGTTGTAGATCCTAAGACTTGAAACTTCATAAAACTCAGTCAAACCTATCTCACTGGAAAGAATTTCTGAAGGTTGTCGCTAAAGCATGCTTCACGGGTACTTTTTGACCAAATTAAGTGCCCTTACGCTATTGTAAAAACCTAGACCACCCGTTCCAACCAATAAGATCGCTCCGTTTTCCCGTAGTCTTCTTTGGCGATAGCTTTGTCTATCAGCTCCAGTAATCGGCCCGCGGGCTGTCAGCTCAACGCGATTACCGGGGACCGGAGTGGGGGTGTATTCGCACCCGTTCTAACCAATATGATCGCTCCATTTCTCCGTCGTCTTCTTTGTCGATAGCTTTGTCTATCAGCTCCAGTAATCAGCCCGCGGGCTGGCAGCTTAACGCGATTGCCGGGGACTGGAGTGGGGGTGCATTCGCAGATGAGGAATCTCGATTTTGGGGAACTAACAATAAGGCAGAACCTCCGTAAAATACATGGATGAGCTTCCTTTTCACTTTTCAAGGCCAGAAGTTTCAGGAACAACCACGGGGATGATCTCTGTCACACATTGGCGGATCCAGCAAATTGGCAACACTGTTCCGTTTAAGTCTCTGGAAATGTATCGATTCTTGGAATGGCCAGGTGCTCCGACACTAATCGATTATTTCACACAGGTTTAAATGGAGGGAATCAGGTGTTGCCAAATTGCCGGATCCGCCTCTGCTGTCACATTTTCTTTTCCCTGCCTCGGCGACCCTAGGGGGTTTTAAGAGTTTCTCTTAAGTGGCAGTCGAACGCTATTCGGTTCTGAACGAAATGTAGTAGTAGGTTTTCCCCGGGGATGAAAACTCGCGAGGTTGGTGAAGAAGGGGTGAAAAGTTATGAAACCCTGCAACCGTCAGCCGTCAGCACACGTCCCTTCCTGCGATGGCGAAAGAATTGCACTTTGCTGCATTGTGAGGCTGTCCAGCTAGTCCCGCTGCTCCACCGTATTTACACCTTCTCCCGCGATCAATGGACGTATTTATTCTGAAAGGAACTATGTTACCCGCAAATCCCATGCACTTAGTTCCTTATAGCATGAATACGTCTAATTTTGAAATTGCGAGTCTGCGTTCTCATGATTTTGAAATCAGCAAATCTCTATCCTGCTAGGAATGCTGTAATCATTACTAGAAGATTTCAGTATAGAGAAAGAGACAGGCGGTGCCCACACTGTTGAAAATCGAAGAGTGGAATTCGGTGCTGGATACTATGTAGTGCCGAAAAACCCTAAGTGATACGAAAGCGAAGTAAAATTAACATCGTATAACTCTCCGAAAATTTCCCTATTTCACGCTCCAATTTTAGTAATCGAAGATGCCAGATAGGAACTCCTCATTTCCCCACCGTTCTAGTTTCAAATGAAAGTCTTCACTGGGTTTTTTTGCGAGTGGAACATAATTAAGCATCAATGGTGCTAACAATTGTTCTCTTTCTGTTTCAGACCATGTCCGACAAGGAAAAGAAGCGCTTCCACGAAATGGCAGAGAAGGACAAGAAGAGGTACGAGTCAGAGATGCAGAACTACATTCCTCCCAAGGGTGAGAAGGTTCGCGGAAAGAAACGCAAGCACTTCAAGGACCCCAATGCACCCAAGCGAGCTCTGTAAGTATTAGTTTCAAAGACCTTAATGTCATGATTATTACTTAAAAAAAAATACAGAATTTACCTATCCATTTTTGAACACCATCAGAAAATCTCAGCAAGGAAAGTAAGTTATTCCAAGATGAAGATGCTACGGACATATTTTTCCTATCAATTCAAGGTTTTTAGTGACTGTTAAAAAAAGGGAGAATATAATCTGGCAGAATAAACCATACAAACTACATGACGTCTGTTCAAAAATCCTGAAACAGTCTTTTGGACACTCGGTAGTAATGAGTATTAGAAATTTGAAGCTTTCAGAAGATTTTTACTCGATGAGAGTTCAGGAAAATTTTGCTTGCATCTCAAGCTGAGGCTTGCCCAAAGGTGTTTTTACTTATGCTGGATTAAATTTTCTTTCCTGTGCGAAGACAGGAAAAACTGAGGGAGTAGAAAAAGGAACTCAGCGTCTTGAAATCGCTGTTGTACGAGAGATTTTTGCATATCAATGGAATTTTTTCTATGAAAACCAACTTGTAAGGCTACATCTTGCTAAATTACATGTGTACTTCCAATCAATGCGCCTTTCGCTAATCCCTTAAAGATTGGAACTTGCAATCTTCCTCCGGAGGAGAGAAGATGCAATTTTTTGATCAGTGGCCAGAGATCAGCAAGCCAGATTAGCGGGCCATTGCTTGAAACAACTTCCTGGCATATTGGCAAGTCACAGCCCTATTCGAATCATGTAATTTATCAATTTTTGATGTCTTCTTGTGCTGACATGAATTTTAACAATAATCAGTCCGCTGACAATGAATCTGACATGGTGACATGTCTTTACCTCACATTGTATAACTGAAAGGTGGTCGCAGGAGCTCAATTTGAATCTGAAGCTGAATTGTGAATTTTGAAGATTACTAAGTAATGTTTTAAAATTTCAGGTCCGCCTTCTTCTGGTTCTGTAATGATGAACGTGGAACCGTCAAGGCAGCAAACCCCGAATACGGTGTTGGAGATATTGCCAAGGAATTAGGGCGCAGATGGGCCGACTGTACCTCAACAATGAAGCAGAAGTACGAAGCCATGGCCGAAAAGGACAAGGCCCGTTACGAAAGGGTATGTATTGTGTCACCTTTAGGAGTACTCTTGCGCTTACTTCATATCTATAACATGTCCAAAGAGGCAAATGAGAGAAACTAATATTGTTGTGTTCAGGTGGAAAGGTTGGACAAAATAAAAAAGAATGGAAATGCTAACTTAATTCGTTCGTAAAGCAGATATCAGTGTCACTTGATTCGTGCCTAATCAGGCATCGCCATTTTAAATAGCTTACTCAGAGACTTTAATGTTTTCCCACAAAGTGGAATGTATCAACAGAAATTTTAAACCTTCTGTAACATGAAATCAGTTTTCTGGGGTCAACTGAATGTTGAAACTCGGTTTTTTTCTATGTAAAATGTTTATGCAATTGAAATCCTAGGATTCTCTTGTGGAATGAGCCTTGTGGCTTACTTATTTGTACAGCGCATCTTTTATTTTTTATTAATGGAACCTTTCCTTGGTGGGATAATTTTGCGAGTTTTCATCAGTGTTTTTTTTTGAAAAATGATGACCAAAAATTTGAAATTTTGACAAAATAAATTTGGGTGTCTTTATTTTAACAGCAGCTACAACTTTGATCTTTTAGAATCCAAGATCTCAAACTAATTTATGCAATTAAGGGCTAAAATTGTGGTCCCATTTTGAAAAGAAGTTTTAGTTTATTTGCTATAGGGATTTACAGCCATTAGGTCTCATGTCTTAAGTGAAACGATTGTTGGATCTTGACTCACAGTCTCATTGACCGAACTTAATCAATTTTTGTTGGTATAGTATTCTAATCTATTTTAGTTCAAGGCATGTAATTGTTGATGTGAAAAGTCAAGGAATTTTTTCCCTCAAAGTTTGTAGATACCCTGGCTGAGTTTTTTCCTGTTGTCATCTGATTTCTAATGCTATGTTTCTGTTTGCAGGAAAACAATGAGTACAAGAAAAAATCAAAGCCTAGCGTGGCACCAACCGTCGCACACGAAGAAGATATCGATGACGAAGAAGAGGAGGATGAGGATGATGACTAAGCGTTCACTGCTGGAACTCCTCCCTTGTACATAAATAGCTCCCATGCTTTCAGACTCCCTTAAATATATGTATGTAATTTTAAGTAAGAAGTTAATTGATGCAGCCCACATTGACAGAAAGAAACGACCTTGAAAGTGGAAACGTATATATAGCGATAAAGAAAACACTTGTACAGAGCATGTATTTTCAAATGTTGTTTCTCCACAGGGCCATACGCCATGCCTCTGTAGAACCTTGCTAATTAACTCAGGTGAGAAATGAATTTATGTATATGTGAAAGCCTCTCAATTTTTATTTATTCCGTTCTACGTCCTTTGTGTTCTCGACAAGTTTTAAGTTTTTCTACAGACGTTTCCGCGAGGAGCCGCATGGTTTCTTGGTTTTAATTTTTTAAAGCAAGTCTTCAAACAATTAATGAATTAATTTCCTCCTCTTCTTTGTTTTTATTGTAAGCGGGTTCAGCCTCACGGTTCCGAGTGAAAAACAGTTGTAACTCAGGGATTCTTGAAGTGGCAGTTAGAATAGCGAAGCTTTTCTCTCAAAGAGTGCTTTTCGTAAATATCTCACGTAAACTTACTCATTTTTTTTACATAAAAAATAACGTTCTCCATAAGCATGCAAAACTTTTAATGTTCCGAACTTGGATTTTACCTCGTTTTTTTAAATAAAAAAATGCTATCTTTTTTTAAAAGTCATATTTTAGTTGAACCAATTTTAGCATGAAAAAGTAATTTTAATTCATGTACATAAGCTCAGAATGTTGAAGTATATGCTAAAAAAATCTTGGATATTTTTTATGTATGGAACTGTAATTTTTGGGCCTTGTTCATGACGAAGTGGCTATTTTACCCTGTAGGACATTGTTCATTTTCCCATGATTTTAGGTTTTAACGAAGATCGTTTAAAGTTTTGCGTCTCGCCACACGCAACGTCTCTTGAGGAATAAGCAACTGTTATAACTTTCAAGATTTGTAAATGTCTAATTTTCTCCCGAGGGTTTTTTTTTATGTTGGTTTGAATTTTCACCGCTCCTCTTTCCCATGAAAATAAACTAATTTGCTTTTTAATGTACGATGTAATTAAGACTGTAAAAATTGTAAATTAATGCCTCCCTCACCCCCTTGTTACAACTTAGCGAAAATTTGAAAAGCAAGGATTTCAGCTCTTTTCAACTAATGTTTTCGAGTCTGAAAAGCACGTTACAAGTGTCGACATTGAAAAAAATCTTAAATTTTCATAGCTATTTTTGTACAACTTTTAAGCGCTAGTGAATAAAATTTGCAGTTCCATGTTTTGGTTTTTTATTTTTTAATATTTATTTCTTCCTTTTTTACGGCTTTTTTAAGACTTAGTTAAGCCCCACCCTTTTCTCGTTTAAAACAGAAAAACCGCCCAGAATAACAGTAATTTTTAAGAAGGATTGAAAAACTAGCGAACTTTAATTTTTGTTTTCGAGTCATTCGTATGATTTGTGGGCGTACATTCATGATTATTTAAAAAAAAAGCATCAAAAATCTGCATTTAGTTTATTTTCTCTCGAGATCTCATTTCTTTATTTAGCAATTTTTATTTTTTATTATTATTATTTTTTCTCTCTTTTTGAACCTATGTTATTACTTTAGATTCGACCTCAACTTGCTTATTTATGAAAACATTGAAGTAAATACATTTTTGAGAGTATTTTTTTGAACTGGCTCTTTTTTTACGTTGTTTATCCAAAAATATTAGCCCTGATGCTATACCTACACAAGATTTTGAAACATGTAACATACTGTTGTTTTGAAAGTGAAGGACATTTTTGTTGCTGAATCACATTACAAAATCCATCACACATCAATCGAGGACTTTGGTGCGAAAAGGTCACTTCTCCATTTGAGTGTTTTAGAATTTCTATTAATAATTTATTTTATTTTAAAGGAATCAGTCTATCATTTAACTGAAGATTTGTCCCAAGGACATTGTTAAATTATGTACAATATCTGGTTAAATTTTCACCTCAACCAGCAATTTTTTCTCTGTCATGAGTATAAACACACGACTGAGAAGTACTCTTTTTACACCCAAGTCTTCAACAAATGTCTTCTACCCAGAAAATCTTTAATACTGTTGTGATGAATACACATTAATTTTCAATTCTCCACTAACACTAACACTTTCTTTCCAACCGCAGAAGTAATTAAGCATCTACATGCAGTTTCTTGTGGAACGGTACTTGGAAAATCATTTCATTCATCAATGATGGATTATTATTCGTCGATGCTGCATCATTGTTTTTATCCCAGAAAGTTTCAGCAAAAATGAAAGAATATCGCCTTACAAAGGTTTATAGGGTCGTCGTTTCTTAAAAGTAATTGATGAACTACTATTTCCTCATTGAATCATTACGTCTTGAAACTGAAACTCATGACACAACTAGACCTTAATCAGGTTCTAAAAGAATTGTTCTCACAATTAGTTCAGAATTGTTCATCTCAAGAAAATTCTCTCTCCTCCCATGGGTATTCATTGTAATTTTTCCTTGTCTTTTTCAAAATTAATCCATTGGCATAAAAGTAATTAAACTTACCTCTTAAATCACTTGTTTTTCAAAGTGAACGAATGAATTTAAATTATGTTTTGTGGTTTATGTCAGTAGAAGATTCATTTTTACATAGTTACCGCACTCGAGTATCTTACTGAACTTTCTATGAAAGATTGAACTGCTTATGTTGGACGAGTGTCGTCATCAAATGAGGAATCAAGTGTGAAATAGGGTCCTACAGTGTCTTAGAACTTCCTTTTACTTTTTTGTACTCTTAGCAAGGTTAAAATTGCTTTGCAGGGATATGGCAATTTGACAGAATATTCTTCACAATTTAAGTTATTTTTCACACAAAATTTATGACCAGTAGTTTCCTCATGAAGAAAGAGATTCTCTTTTGAAATCCCCTAAATGCTGCAACAAGGAAGAGCCCATTTCGCACTTGAGTTCTCAATTTTCATCTACCACATAGTTTCCAATGAAAAGACTTCATTATAAAGTTATAATACTGAAAATCAAACATAAAATCTAGAGTATATTTTCTTCCATAGTCAACTACATAGAATTAGTGATGACTAGTTCTAAACCTTAATCCCTGAGCTCTAGGTGTGTTAATATGTAACAATGAGAATGATCACTCCTCTATTAGCTGTATACAGCAGGGCCTTTTGACTTATCATTTCCTTATTAGATCTTCAGCAATTTGTTGAAGCGTGAATAGAAAGAATCAATTTAGAATGAATCTAATCTAGTGTCTTGAAGCTTAATTGTAGGGAATAGAATTGACGTCCATCAGGATTCCACTACCTAAATCAAATTTCCATGACTCAACGTCTCCGCACACAGGAACATATCTTAATTGTGCTGTTTCAGTATTTCTGGATTACAGTTTATTTGTTGACAGCAAAACTGTTCCATGAATTTCTCTGAAATTTTCAGTGCATTTATATCACTCTCATGAAAACGGACTCTGAAATTTCCAGACCAATTCATGCGACAGTTCTGCCATGAAAAACAAAAAATTTTCTAAGAAACACTGAAAGCACAGACTAGATACGTTCTTATGAGCGGTAGGCAATGAATTATAATAAAAATCGAATAATAAACGTTTGAAAACCAAGGATAAACATGAGACCAGTCTATAAGATGACCTGTTAAACGGAGAACAAAGTAGATTTTCTTTATTGGCTCATTCTTCAATCAAACTGCTCTTTCTTAGCCAGGCAGGATTGGGAATTCGCAGTTTTTGACTAACTACTGATTGGCTACGCAACACATTGATAGAAATTTTTCCAATCAACTGTGAAGTATAAAACTGATCCATCATCTAGGGAATCAATGGTACTGCTATTGAAAGGAGAATTTGAGAGATTACTGCGGAAGAAATGAAAAATTAACTAGTTTGGTGATCGCTGAGCAAAAAGAGGATGGACCAAAAATTACTTTGCTTTCCTTACCATTCTTGTCACTTTCATTTCTCATGTTCTTTTTAATCTATGGCGCTCATTTGATCAAGCCAACAATGGTTTTTATGAACCTCCTGGATTTCTCCTCTGCGTGCCAGTAAGTAAAACTTTTCCTAAGATGCAAGTTTTTTAAAGAAGCCCAAACTAGCTTTTTGATTCCAAAGGAGTGACCTTGCTCTCTTGGGAAAGAACTTTTTCTGAAAAATCTTTCTTCACAAGAAGATACTTTTTAGAATTTTTCATTATTGTCTTTCATTGATCAAGTTTCCATTGTCATCAATTTTCAAAAGTACGTAAGCATAAAAATTGCTAAATTGCTTATAAATGTGAGTCTTCGGAAGTTGCGTTACACCTGATGCATTGAAACTTTGCATTTCAGTAGGCAATGTTCTTGTAAAATTTATAGGAAAAAAAATAAATGAAAAAAAATCATAGCATGAGGTGCTATATTTAGAAAATTTCAGGAGAGTTCTCTTTTGTTAAATTGTTTTCCATCATTCATCTGGTCACCTAAGTAAGATCAAAGAGAGCGTTTTAGGCAAGACTATTTAAGTATTCATAATTCATTCACTGTAAAATGTGAAGTGTGAACCAGAGATGAGCTTAAATTTTAGCCCCTTCATTTAGCAGAGTATGCTTTGTGCACGTTAAGTTGCATACCTCACTGATTGAAGGAAAAAGGAAGCAGTCACAACTTATTTGGCAGGTGAAAAACAATACTTTTACAAGGAACTTACAATGCCAATATTTTAATGCGCATTCAAGTTAAAGAATTATTCTCTTTCCTGAATTATCTAGAGATTCTTAGGTAGGGACTTTCCGTGTCGGTTTGCTCCGTGAAAGGTAACTGTATTCAATAGGCTAGTACTTGGTGATGGATCAAACTTGCTAGCTGACATTTCTTGAACTCGAGCATCTCCAGCTTTTAATGGGGCAGGTTTGTTCCTCAGATAAGTCTTGACTATTACAGGGATAGATTATCATAAATTGGTCTATTGCGGTCACTCCACAATCCAACACCAAAAAAAAGTGAAGTTGATTTAACATTCTAGAAAAGAGTGCGAAAACGTATCAAATGCCGAATTATCCACTATAGCAGTTACTTTAGCAATGCCAAGATGTACGAAAAACTGCAGTAGCGGGTAATTCAGCATCTTTTAAGTTCTCGGACACTTTTATCACATCTAGAATGTTTAATCAACTTCATTTTTGTTTCGGTGAAATATTTCCTGATAGAAGATCTGAGAAGTTGGTAAGTCTCTCAACTTCGGCATGGGCACTATTTGACTGCCTAGTACCTATCGAAATGCAAGAAATAAACTGCATTGCTGCATTTAAAAATTTCATGCTTTTTCGATGGAGAACTCCATAAAATTGTCGGGGAATCTGCTCTAGTAGCGATAAGTTCAAAGAGATTCGAAAGTGAAAATGATCATTAGTTTTCCTTCAGAGAAATGGAGAGTAATGATGTATGTATGTATGAGCCGCTTTTACGGCGCGCTAGGGCGCTCTGCGACGCCTATTCTCCACAGGAATCTGTCATGGTAGAGATCCTCCAGAAGGTGGCATCTCTCCATCTCTTCATGGATGCCCTCTACCCACCGTTTGGCTGGACGCCTGGAGAGTAATGATACCCAGTTTTTTTCTTTTTGTTTCAACTACCTGGATCAGATTTTCATGAAGTGAAAAGAATGGTTTACTACTCAAGCCGTTCCTTAACCATATTTATAAATTACAAAACCTTTAAAATTGTACTTGAAATTAAATGCATTTTGTGACATATACAGTTTGATGGCAATGTAGAATAAGAATATTTGTAGTATTGCAGCCAAGGAGATTATTCTGAATTGAAAGAATGTAGTAGCTATTCTTTTACTCTTTTCACTCAGGCCCTAATACTCAAGTTTTATTTGATTTATTCGTGTTCAAATTCTGCGCGGCATCAAGATCTTACTTGGGGGCCAAAAAACTACTATAGTTAGGAGGATTTCTCGTGAAAACGTTGTCTTACGTCAAGAAATCTTGAAATTTGGAAACCACCAATACGATAAATGAGTCTGGCAAATCTCTGAGCTGAAGAGTTTTTGACACCAACATCTTTTGGTCAAATCGATTCTCATTTCAACTGGAAGGATTCAAAAGATAGGAAATCGAATCGTGTATTCTGTAAACAACCCATCTCCTCTCTTCTAAACTCTTTTTGACCTTCCTCTCTCGAACCAAACTATTTTTGAAGTCTTTCTTCAGAAGAAAGTGAATCTTCGCAAAATATTAGCATGACAATTGAATCTTTGCTCAACACAAATAATACATCAAGCCGAGATTGAATTATTTTATGGCTTATTGTATTTTCATCGTTGGTAAAACAAATAATGTAGTCTTTTCCTAAAATCAAGAAAAAAATCAACTTCCCTTTTGAGTTCGTTAATGGAGAAACCTCTGAGTACAAATAGGCAAAATCTCACAAGATCTGTAGGACGATGATTGAAATTTTGTTTATAATGATGAGAAATGATAGAACTAAGCTGGAATTCCGTTTAGTGAATGGTCAGTTGTAAGAGTTCATTTATTATCATTTATTGGCTAAAATATCTGATCGATTGTCAGCCAGTGAGTGAGGGCCCATAGCTTGTTAATCAGCAAGTAATGGCTCATTGCTTGTCGATTATTCAACACAAATAAAGAGTTTGAGTGACACAAGTGACAGATTCCATAATTTTAGCTTGGTCTTATTTCATTCTATTTCTTGAGACAACATTTCAATGCTGACAGCCTCCTGATGATGACTGATCAATTTTATTATACGATGCATTATCAACCATTAGTTTCTTTGCTGAATGGTAGGGGTATTTAGTGCTGATAAGTGCAGTAAAAAGAGGTAAATTCAGGATGCCTTTTTTAAAAAAAAATGCTAGTAAATTAAACAACAATCTTAAATTTATTTTGAAAAATATAGGTAAATCATGAAATGAACATCAAATACAAAAGAGGCTTCCTTGAGGGGATACTGTTGTCACCGATGATTACAGCTAGATAAAAAAAATTGAAAAACCAGGCTGGGAAAACAGAAAAGATGTTAGGATTAATTGACAGGAACCCAGTGAAGAGTGTCTTTTGGAAACTAATTCGAATTGAACATACAGCTACGACAACATCAGTCTGTAAGCATAGGCCCACACAATCAGAACTAAAGGAAACTAATTACGACGAATCACAGAGTCAGCGAGGTACTGAAAAAGTTCTCTTGCCGAATTGAAAACAATTCATAAACTGAAAAGATGGAGTCTATTTACACACGCCAAGTACGGGGAAAATAATAAAAATAAACAATAATATGTACAATAATACTTAGCTCCGGTGACAACTGTTCTTTATGGCAAAATTAAAAGAGTCCCGAAGGACTTTAGGAGTATGAATAATGCTATAAGTAAGGTAGATTAGTTTATTCCAAAAGGTTCTTGTCGAACATGAATTCTCCCAATTGCCCGTTCTGTGCCATCATCTTGCCCAACGTTGAGATTTTGCCAGCAAGGTCTCGTTGGCCTTCGTATTGCTCAGTAAGGAAGTCACCAGACAGGTAGTCAACAAGCTGAAAATATTAGGCAAAAATTAGTAAAAACGGAATCAATAAGTTGGCTCCTATGACTAGAAAAATGCAGCTTGAACAAAAGTTTGCAAAGAGAGGCTATTGAAAAATTTTCAAGGACGCTGTAGGTCATGGGTAATTTTGATATCTACCTCCAAAAAAATCATGTTCATAAATGTAAAAATAAATTTTAAGACAAACATGACTTAATAGCCGGATTGGACTATGAAATAAAGCTTAGAAAAAGCCTTAAGCTTCCTGACAAAAATGATAAAAATATAGCTGCGCATTCATGATTTCGAATTCTTCATTTAAGATCAGGCTTGGCGCCTAAAGTGTGTTCCCGATTTCAATTCATACCTACGTGGCTTCAATTCATTTGTCCGATAAAAGGCATTCATTGAGATTCACATACGTGGTCTTCCGTTATACGTCTTTGTCGAGAGGTTTACAGTGCTAAAACTATTTATTACAGACTATTTACATTCAAGAGCCCTTGTCAAACTTAATTTTATCTTGAGGAGCTCTTTAGGAAGATCGATCGCATGCAAGGTATTCAAGTGGATATTGTCAAAGGGATCAGCAAGCACTCTTAAGCAGGCTCAAGTTTGCAGAGTTACACATATTCTACAGAAATTCAGGATGTAGAACTACTTACACTGAAATTTGGAATGAAAATCTAAAGCGACGTAGATAGGTACAAAAGAGGTGTGCGGAAAATGCCTTAACTTGCAGATTGAAGTGTTCAAATCTTACCAAAAATTTAGGGGTCATCTCGAGCGGTTAAGCCAATATTTAGGGGCTATTTGGATTTTTCAGGGGCAAAAATGTTTCTTTGGATATAATATATGAAGAGTGTCAAATAGCTTTCAGCGCTGTTGAATTGCTCTTTTTCTGGCTATTTAGGTACACATTTTTTTTTACTTTTCCTTGCTCAATTGAATCCTTGCTGAAGGTTTCTGGTACATTTTAGTATCAATCAAAAAAGTTTACCTGGGCTCCAGCATTTTTACAGTTGGCTGACCGCGAATATTTGGGTGCCAACTTTGGCTATGACTTCGATTATTTTAGCGGCAATAAGAAATATACAGGTGCACTTAGTGCACAGCACCTGTTGGATTTGAACACGGATCTTGGCCCAAGAGGCAAAATTCAAAAGTGATGACTTCATTCTCCCTTGAGGAGAGATCACTCTTTGCCCTCTTTTTGTAGATTTTTTGAAGCACACCGTAGATTTGTAGATTTTTTTGTAGGAATACTACTGAGCCTTAAAACTGCAGGCACAGCCATAAGGTCCTTAAAAAGTCATTGACCAACAAACAAGGATAAACATTGTGGTTCTTGCAATACATACATGGTAATCGTTGAAGGGTTCGCCTTCCTTGGTTGGGGGTTCTTCACAGACTTTGATGATATCTCTGATTTTGCGGGTAACATGAGCTTCCAATTTCAATGCATCTCGGAGGGCGGTGATCGCATCGGGCCAAGTGTCAGCATTTGGTTCCTGCAAGAAAAAAATTAAAATGAAATTTCCTGGTTTTTCCAGATTTTCTAATCAGAGTGATCAATATTTTCCATCTCTTCAGGGAAAAATTAGTGCGTTCAGAACTGAAAATGAACGATTATTTTTTTTAATTAATTTCACTGTAAAAGACAGAAACATGCGAACCCATTTCCTTCAGACATTGATCATTAAATAAGCTAAAATTGCAATTTTTAATTGAAACTTATTCCTCTATTCCTAATCAGAGGGTAACTTGGCGGATTGAGCCCTGAATGAGACTTAGAAGCGGGTTGATTATGTGGGCAGTGCTTATGGTTTTTTTACCAGATTTTTCAAATTTCCGGTGCTTTACATAAAATTTCCCGACTAATTCCCGACCAGATAAAATTACCTAACAATGCCCAGTTCCCCAGAATTGTTGACACCCTGGATTAGTATACTGGCATTTCATAGACTATTTTTAATACCCTTTAAACGTAGAGGCTGCAATACTTAAACAACTGTAGTGAAAAAATATAGTAGTAGAGATCTAAAAAAGAAAATTAAAAATCCAGCACAATGATTTTTCCAATATATTGATGGTGAAACTGCAGAAATGCATACCTCAGATGGCGGCATTATAGACTTCCTGTCACACTTCATTTTCAACATGGAAAACTACTGAACGTCATTTTTTGAAAATTTCAGTTATTTACATTTTTTCTATGGAGAATATTCTGTAAAAACTTCAAGCCATGATGTTGGTTCAACGTCCTTTCAAAAATAAAAAAGGAGCGGAGATTTTGAAACACCTCAACCGAGATACGCATTTTTGCAGTTTCATCATCAAATATGTTTTAGAAAAAGCATCCGATCATAAATTTCTGAATTTATAGTTCAATTTTTCACCAATAACTTTTATCAGCACCTGAATTATCCATTTTTTGGACAACAACTTTTTTCTAGCTGAACACAGTTCAATTAGGAGACTTCTACATAAGCAATCCAGGACACATTGACCGAGTTCAATATAGGAGTGCATCGAGCTGCATCAAGTGGACTACGTTTAGCAGAAAGGAACCAAGCCACATCAGCTATTGCCAAGTTTAACTGGAACATTTTGTTTTTTAGGTACTATCGAACGTTTGGGCAGATTCCTTTGAAAATTTTGAGGAATTTGCTTTGTACAATGCAAAAAAGTCACAGAAAGGTGCACAAAAATCTGCACAACCGTTTTCATGTAAAAAATTATATTTCCCTGTTCAACTTGGCAATGGCTGATGTGGCTTAGCTCCTTTCTGCTAGGCGCGATCCAAGAGTCAATGGAGCGAAAGAGGTTTGAAGTTTTATTCCTCTATTAGACTCGATGATATGGACAAAGTTTCAGAACTATTCTCACATTTATATTATTTTCTACGGACTTTTAATTCTTAACGGGAAAAAATTTATGACTGGTTGAATTCAAAAACACTCCCAACTCATTTCTTCTTTTCAAAATATGACTATATAGGTGCATTTTTGTTGGCCTCTGTCAGTGGCGTGGCGTGCCTTGCGATATATCGATTGTTCTGCCATTTAAACCTATGATAAAGAATCGATTATTAAGGTGTTCGCTGCGAACACCCTGATTATCGATCCTTTTCCATAGGTTTAAATGGCATTACAATCGATATATCGCAAGGCACGCCACGCCACTGGCTCTATCCAAGTGAGCATGGGATATTTTAGCGCTACTTACAGGGCTCTTGATGAGGGACGATAGGTCTTCAGTGAGACCACCTCGCATAAGCAGGTATTCCAGGAACTTGATGGCGTGTTCTCTTTCCTCCTTGGCGCTTTCGAAGAAGTACTTGGCGAAACCTGGACGATTCACCGTATCACGAGAGAAGTGCGCTCCCTGAAACAGAAAAAAAACATGGATTAATGCTTCGGAAGGAAGATGATAGTCGCTGTGGAAGGATACCGTTAACCAAGAAAAGGACCTAGGATAGATTTTTTACTTTGATAGATTGGTTTCATTTGTATCGTTTGTACATCAGGGCCGGATTAAGGGGATGGCCACATGGGCCGCGGCCCATGGCGGCAAATTTTGCAATTGTTTTAAATGTAGGTATAAAAAAATATCGGATTTAGAAAGAAAAATTGCAAACGAGAAAAGGCGACAAAATTTCTCATTTCCTGCGAGTGTAGTAATTTTTAATTTCGTCTTTTTCAGAGATACAAGATACAGCACCTTTAATTAGTCGAGTTAAGAGAGAAACCAAACACGCAATTTGGCCTGGAACAGAGAGCAATGATGACGAGGACTTGAGATGAAAAGGAGAATCGATCTGCATGTAACACATACCAGCGCCTTCAAGACTGCACGAATACTTCACGCATTGCATCAAACACAGTGCGGTCTTTGCGGTCAGCGTGAAACGGATAGCGCCTACAAGAATGCATGAATACTTCACGCATTGCGCCAAACACAGTGCGGTCAGCGAGAAACGCATGGCGCCTACAAGAATGCATGAATACTTCACGCATTGCGCCAAACACAGTGCGGTCAGCGAGAAACGCATGGCGCCTACAAGACTGCGTGAATACTTCACGCATTGCGCCGAACACGGTGCGGTCTGCGCGGCGCGGCGGCGGAAGTTAAAATCATTAAACCACATTCATGTTTGTTCTTTCATAATTTTTTCGTTCATTTCTTATGAATGAAAGGCCTTGTCCACACAGAGATAGGTTTACAAAACTTAATTTTTGCTAGTAGTGTTGACAGGGCATCCCCAAAAAATGTGTTCAACACGAGTAAACGCGTTGTATGCACTCCTCCTCCGCTGGCACGATCACTCGATGGTTTTTATTGATATTTCAATACGAATGAGAAGGGGGCGGCAAAATACAGGCGGCCCATGGGCGGCAAGTAGGTAAATCCGGCCCTGTTGTATATATGGACGTATTTCTGTCAAACAGAACTATGTGCAGGGGGAAAGATGGGGTGCTGAATGGGTTCGCCCTGAAAAATGCTTTCAGAGCGAACACCCAAAAACTGACCCTGTGAACAAACGGTACCCTACAAATTCTTACACTCTCAGCCGACGATTGAATTCATTTTACAAGAGCATCGTCCTAGTATTCATTTAAGCTGTTGGGGCTTTTTAGTTACCCCAGGACCTTCGAGCCTCAGAATAGCCTTTTAACATTCTAGCACAGCAAGGGACCGCAAGTGACCTTGACCCTTCAATTAGTGGGCCAATCACGGCACCCCGACTATTCTCGTCTCTCGCTAAGTTGCCTTTTCATCCGCGGTTGTGGAATCGATTTCTATTCTTTTCTTTCAACGTTTCGCATTTTTTGCGAATGTGCGAGGTGGTTTTTGAAGGGAAGGGGAAGGGGAAGGGGAAGGGGGGGGGGGCGATAGCCAAAATGCAAGTTTTGATCCCGTCCTGATCAACTGAGCGCATGAAAATGCAAAACTTGTTCTTTGGTTCAGGGTTGCCGTAGAAGTTAGAGAGTTAAATTTCCTAACACATTTTGGTGGAATTCCCCGACAATCAGTGTTCGGAACTCACATGCGCCAACGCGCCAAATGCGCCTAAGAGATCGGTCATGGCGCCTAAAAAAAGAAGGCTCTGCGCCAACGTGGCCCCTAAAAATTTCCCCTCCCCCCTCCAAAAAAAACCTAATTTTTCTGTTCGGTGACTTTTCAAAATTTCCCCCAAGTTACAGTTCCTCGTTCTGTAACTAAAACATCTTGCGTCTAACTTTTCACTAAATGCGCCGTGATATGAAGGCAAAAACTTAATTTGGCCCCTAAAAATCGAGCTTGATGCGCCACATGGTTCCTGAAACTCAAAGGTGAGTTTCGAACACAGCAGTGACAATTAAACAATTGCCAGATTGCTGAAAATACATAGTTAGAAATAATTTTCAGGCAAAATTTGTAGTTCGAAACGCCAATAATCGAGAAAGCAAATAAAGGTGAATTAACAATTTTTCACCGACACGTCAATTTCCTGAGCATTTCTAGGTTTTTCCTGACTTTTAAAAATTCCCTGACATTTCCCGGTAATCCCTGACTGTGGCAACCCTGGTATATGTGAACTGAGGATTATTGACTCTTATCTTCCGACTAGGCATACTTAAGCTAAAGGCAACGTATGTATATCGACGGTGAAACTACCAAACCACGTATCTCGTTTGCGGTGTTTAAAAATCTACGCTCGCATTTTATTTTTTTAAAGTAGACCAAATCAATATCATTCCTTGAAATTTTCACAGAATTTTCTCCGCACGAAGAGGAAAAATCACAGAAATTTTCAAGACTGGACGTCGAGTAGTTTTTCATTTAAAAAATAAAGTATGACAGGAAGTCCGCGACGTCGCAAACCGAGATACGTGGTTTGGTAGTTTCACCGTCGATATGTAATTTCTGGCGTACTAGAAAAGAGAGCACACAAGAACTCTATTCAGCATGGGGTGTATACGCCTGCAGGTATTAGATGACATGATGTTGGAATTTTCATTCCTTCAACATATCAGACTGATATTACCAGGTCAAGCGCTCATTAGTTGAAAATTTTTCGAAATATCTATTTCACTATATGAAAATTTATTCAGAATTTTCACAAATTATTCAGCGAGGCAGCTGATTTTATCCTCTTGATAAGTATCACGAAGAGAGCAGTGGATCCAAGCGAATGGAGATCTGATTGGAATGTAGTTTGATTTAAACGACGATCATTTTCAATTTGAATAGTTACCTACTATTTCTTTTCCACCTCATGATACGAAAACGAAATTTCGGCCCCACGGCGAAGATAGGAGACTTCTTTCGCGCGGGAAATAAGTCTCTTATTCTGTCGTGCTAAGCACGAACACCGTATGAACATTCGAGAGTTGTCAAATTTCCTCGAATAAAATTGTTATTTTTGAGAGAAGTCATGAATATTTTTCCTCGAAATTTTCAGACTTTATAGATCAAATTACGAACAAAATCCTCTGAAAAATCGTAATGGGAATATTCACAAATTTGAATTTTCTTGAAAATTCGTGATTTGTTGAAGGGAGTTTGGCAACGCCTGGAGGTTCATGCGACGTTTTTCGCACGGCAGTATTGGATCCAGAGTCCAGACTCTTCAAATTTTTTAAGAGTCTGGATTTTGGTTCCAATTGGACACTTTTTTCCATTGTGGCAAAAAAAGTCCCCAGGGACGCATTGTTGACCGTGCGTCTGCAGGGACCACGTTTCCTGGGTGTGGGGGACACACATTGACTCGCATTTGCGTCGCAATCACAATCGAAACGGAGATAACCAGAAAATCAAACAGAGGACTGGGAACACAACTGATAAGGGGACAAGCCAGCACTTGAAAAATGGAAACGCCACACTGACGAGCATGTAAGCAGTGCACAACAGGGTGCAATCTAACTCCGGACTCGCCCATAATTTACATTAAAGTTGAAACTTATTCCATAGAGGAAAATAGGTGGGATCTAAGGAATATAGAACATTTTTCTTGAGGCATGGGCTTTAAATGATGACAATTGTGCGAGTATCAGAAGAATGTTTTCCATTATAATTCTACACCACAGTTTAGTAGATTCTCCAGAGACAATAACCGACATGGGTCCTTGTTGTTGTGCTCAACAAGGACCTATCCGATGCATGGTGATTTGAGACATTTGGAATTGGGATTCCCAGAAATTTCTCCGGCTTTTCTGATCAATTTTAAGAGAACTCCCAGTCTTTTGAGACGACACAGGATGATAAAAAACAATTTAAGTATTTATAACATGTGAAAATTTTTAATCAAATAATAGAAAATCTTAGAATTTTTAGTCAATAGGTTCTTTTTCCATGACTTTTTTCAGTTTCCCGATTTTCTTCAACTGCACTGGGAAAAAAAACACATTGGTTCCAGAGTCCAGACTCTTGAAAACATTGACAAGAAAAAGAACTCTTGATTCAATCAAATTTAAGCTTAAATCAAAAGGAAATCCGCTCAAATTAAGAGGCTTGGTTCTTGATTTAAACTTAAATCTGATTGAATCAAGAGTATTTTTTCTTGTCGATGTTTTTAAGAGTCTGGACTCAAGATCCAATGTGTTTTTTTTCCAGGGTGTGGCCATCTTGCACGCGATTTTAAAACACAAAAGCCTAAACATTGGGCTCGACATAAACCCATGTTGATAGTTTTTACTAGGGTTAAATATGAAAAAAAAAAAAAAGTATAAGACCCGCCCGAGGGCCAAATTTCTGTGTCAAATTTTAAGAGAGATGGAGCCCGGTGAAAAAAAAAAACGATACCTGCAATGCGACTGTCCACCAATAATGCACATCCTAGTTTCTTCGATCTCATGCGGTTCCATCGGTGATTTGCGCTGAGAAACCAATGAAAGTAATTGCATCATCAATTGATGAACTTGAAGTGGAAGAAACCACGATATGCTCTACCGCAGTGTATCACATCACTGGACTATTTTTGGATGGATATCTCTGTTACTATTGTGCCTACGTAGAAACTTGGTATTTTGGTGTTTGGACTAACCTCATTACTGATTGCCACTAATTGGTTCCTATCACAGGGTTCCCATAATTTCTCCACTTTGAAATTTTCTGACAGTCTATGGCATTTAACAGGATTCCCACAGGATTTGGAATATTAAATTCCCTGACATTTACAGTATTTCCCTTGCAGTTTTTGGTAAAATTCTCCAGTTTCTGGTAAAATTCTCTGACAATTCAACATAAGCCAGATTTTTTAAAAAAACACGGTTAGAAATTGTCATCAGGCACAATTTGCTGTTCAACGTCAAACCCACTCGAAAAGGCGAATGAAGGTGATTTGACGATTTTCTCCTGACATTTTCATAATTTTTCCTGACTTTTTAACTTCTCTGACATTA